ATATATATATATATATATATATATATATACGCCGCGCACAGGCTATGAAAAAGTAATTTCAATGAGTTAGTGATGGAGAGAGGAGATCAAATAACTTTTGCCTCAAATATTCAGACCCTCCACGAATCTGCAATCGGGAGAGCTGTTTATCGAAACTTAGTGTGGAAGTTCTCTTGCTCAGTCACAACAACCCAACTTCGTAACGAAAACGTTTCCTTCACAAGCAACCAATTAGGCACTTGTTTGGTTGTAAGAATTTTCTTGTGTGTTCAGGTACGCCGTGACATTTACCAAGTCAAGAATTGTTTTCATTGGTTTTTTAGAGGCATCAATGTTTAGTCTAATGTAGTGGAATAAATTCCCTCTTGTATCTTTCCTTTTCTTCGGCGCAGCACCGACGATTCTCATGCTTCCGACAAGCAAGTGTCGCAAAACGCGCCTACGTGTCAGTTGGGAAACGCAAGACAATACTGACAAGAAATTGGAGGAAGCACTTGTCATGGTTTTCGAAGGAGAATCTGTTAAGGTGCATAGCGTAAATTATGAGGAAGGTAATATCAGTATTCCAGTTCCTTCGTGTGGATCTGTCCAGAATGTTTACTTCGGTGCGCGCAATATCATCGGGGCATCCAATATCGTACCGGTGACTCCTGGATGGTTGGACAAACGTTGAGGCTTGTAACCGCGGATTTTGTGTGCTCCACATTGCTTGAACTTTGTCATGTTGCAGTTTTTTTATTATTCAAAAGTGACACTTTTAGCGGGAGGGATATGACGCAGTTACGAACCTTTCCTTTTCGTCTGAGAAGATGTTGCTTCGTTTTACTGTGTTATTCTAGAAATATTTCAAGGTCATGTATATGGCTCCGTACGTGGCACCATGAAAGTTCCATGAGACGACGGTAGTTAGAAAACAAGGTATCACCACAGTATCTGCGGATGAAAAAGTGGAACATCTTATGAAACGAGTCTCATCAGTTATTGTAGTGCCTCGTGTTATCACCAAAATGACGCACTTTCCGGATAACACTATCCATCGAGTTTCATGAGTTGTACGAGCTTACCAGTGTTAGTGTTATTTGTATAGTGTGAATGGTGGGGGCGTGTATATAGATCGCTCTATCTGATGTTGTGTAATCGAGAAAGAGGTTATCGCTATGGCTCCTTTACGTCAGCTTGGATCTATATTACTGGTGATATAACTGCATGTGATTTGAAACCTTCTTGATAAAGGCGTCACGCATACTGTAGAACTATCATGAAAAGATACCTCTCTGAAGGAAGAACCTCACGACAGCTTCCGTTAATATGATGTAGAAGAGACCTCATAAACTAAAATTCTGTCAACAGGACAACAGTAGATTGAATACATGAACGGAGAGTAGCCAAACAAAATACGTCGCATACTACGCTCAGATCAGTTCACATCCCTGAGTAGTGTAGGCCAAAGAAGACCTGAGGGTGAAGCGACAACTGCATAAATCAATGGAGCGTTCACGTGTCCACAGGCAAAGCAAAGTTTACTTTTTGTCTGCAAGTCAAAAAATGATGCAAAGTATTTTTGTCCAGTCAATTCAATGACGGAATACCATTGCGAACTATATCAAGGATGATAATGCAAAATGATACTTGCATTGCTTGATGTTACAACCCCACTGGGGTTGTGCAAAGCGAGGAAAGAATGAATGGTAAAGATCGGAGCAAAGGGCAGGTGTGGATTCCAATCACTGAAGATATCAACGGAAAAATATGGTGACAAGAGCGTTTTTATGTGCGCAGAATTGAGAACTAAAATCATTCGTTCTGAAAATATGGTTTGGGGTCGAATTAGTGCGGACAAACCGGGTACCTATGGGATATCACACGAACAGATCCGACTGGTTGAGCAACTTCGTAAAAAACGCTGAAATGTGAGAACCGTAGCCTTGGTATTTTTCAGGGTGTCCCACGATTTTCCGGGTGGGTTGTCTACCTGGAAAGATTGAGCCTGCCGCAAAGAACTCAAACGTAGAATAAATTTTCCAAACGTTAAAAAGCGCCCATGTTCAACGGAGAACGGCCGTCATTGTCAGAAAATTATGACTGCCAGAAATTCTGTAATTGAACCAAAGGGTACGCACGGTATCAAAGCAACGGGCTTTGAATCCTGATGTTATGCTGTCAACGATGATGAGGATGATGAGGATGTATAAGGCACCAACTGAAGTTCTTTTCGTGTGCCAAGCTTCCATTCGACTTAGTCAGATTCCAAACCCAAAGCAGTTGTTCGCCGTATTTATGGCCTGTTTATATTTCACTCATGCAGACTTCAAATAGGACATTCTTGCACTGTGTGTGTAGCAGAAACGTCAACAAACTTCGGGAGTGGGTGTATTCGCTAAACAAATGAATGCATTCCATGTGATTGAATGAAAATTCTGTGGTAACTTTTAATAATCCTACTATCTTGTTCCGTGTGCTTTAAAGAAAAGCCTCAGACTATGGGCAATTCCCCGAATAACTTCTTATGTCGCCAACATTCCTTGTGTTGATCTACAACCCATCCTCAGTTGTACCAGACGCGACCGACGACCAAGGATCCAGACATTGATGTTCATGGGTCCCGATTGTGCTGATCCATGAGGCGGCTAACTCAACAATTGCCCACCTTTCATCCGATGAAGGGAGAACAACTGATACGTACAGAAACAAACAGCCACTGAACTGTTTTCATACATTTCATCACGCCGTTATTATTCTCCATTATTTTGTTACTTATTAGTACTAAAAATGCTGGTGGCTACGCAGCCGATACATGCAACGAAACTGCCCGGTGATTCTACAGGTGAGGATTGCCTTTGTCAAACAATGAAGACTGGTCAACATGCCGTCATTTGAACTGTGTTTAGTGTAAAATTCGTATGTCCTGCCACTTGCCTTTGTATGTTACACTATGCGTAGGCTTCACACCAGACCTTGGGACTGAGCTAATGCATGGAGCGCAATTACTGAGTTACACTCCAGGTTGTTCAGTTCGCTGAGAACCGTCGAGTCACCTTTGATAATATGTATTTACTGCAAAAAACCTGGTTGCCTACGCTATGATGAATCAGTTGTTATTCCCATGACGCATTCGCTGATGAACATGGCTGATAATGTCGAGTTACCTGCAATTTGGTCCGGCCTACTTCACCATGACAAAGCGACAAACAAGCACAACAGACTGCACATGACGGGGCAACTCAGTCCCAAGGTCAGACGTGAAGTGTAACATGCAAACACGCGCGCAAGTGACAGGATACACATGACTTTCACACCGACCACAGGAAGCATGATGGTACGTCGATCAGTCTTTGGCTAGCCACATTAAAAATGTTTCAGTGTCAGCCATCCGTCCTTGATAAATGTCATTCTTGACGGTCGAATCATCGGAAATGTTCATTGCATATATATGCTATGTGGTCACCGGCAAAATTCTAATACAACTGCAGCTCACAGGACCTAGGCTCCCTCAGCTCCTCCGGAGATGACTTATCATTCGTTCTTAATTTATTGCTTAACAATATCAAGTAATGCGAAATTCCCAGCACTTTCAACCAATGGACCGCATTTGAAGCGGGGACTAGGGTGAAGCTGTAACACAAGTGGATAAATTACATCGTAAACCGAATGCCCTCTCCCAATGATTAATAATTCAGCGCGAAAATGCCTCGGATCGTACACACTGTCCAAGTCTCAACTCCAATAAAAATGCTTCAGGCATGATGGCGTGATAAATACAAATCGGAAACTGCATCTTCAACTTTCTGGGTAACCGGGATGGTGGGTTTTCAGGCACTAAGTAACTTGGAAGGGCATATCGTACAAACTTAATCAAAACTTTGCGTGATATTGAACAGCAAAGCAATGAAAGAATGTGTCCATCCTTGTGACTCTTGTGCAGTTTCAGCACGTCACGTGAGATTTTTTGGGTGTTTGAGTGAGAATTTGGTATTGACGTGAGTCCCGTACGAAATGGCTCCAGGTAAAATTTCTGTAGAACCAAAAACACTGCAAAGATACGTAAGAAAACGGTCAGTCGCGTGGTGACGGGAGAACATAATCTCATGAGAAAAGATGATCTTCATTGCGAACAGCATCACGGAAGCATTAGATGCTACTTACGACCCTCCATCGGCTTCCTTAGCACCATATGATTTCTTATGTAGTTCCAAGCACATTCCTGTTGTGTACGGAAGTGGGTACCATGAACGGCTATACGCGACCTGAGAACGAGCGCACAATTCTCCAGCTATGATGCGAGCCCCTCTAGCGCAGAGAGAAGACC